CACTTCCTCATAATAACAACCCCTTCACCTTCACAAATACAACGACCTTCGAACTCAGTTAACCTTTTTCAACCCCAACTACGACCGCTTCAGTGAAGTCGCAACTATAACTCCTTCATCCGACTGCAGCAGGTGGATACAAAACCCTGCTGTACGCTTGGGCCGATGTCGTAGTTTGCGAGTCGAGCGATACGCTAGCGAATCGCTGGATCCGAGCGTCGCGCCAACGAATCGAGCGTTGCACCAGCGAATCGAACTTTGCGCCAGCGAGTCGAACGATGTACCAGCGAAACTAGGTACCAGCGACTCAATAGTGGCGGGACCCAACGTTCAAAGGAAGCCCGCCACTTTCAAACAGTGTCACGTGACAGTGGACGCTGTTTGAAAGTGGCGGGACTTGACAGTGGACACTGTTTGAAAGTGGCGGGCTTCCTTTGAACGTTGGGTCCCGCCACTATTGAGTCGCTGGTACCTAGTTCGCTCATCGTTCGACTCGCTGGCGCAAAGTTCGATTCGCTGGTGCAACGTTCGATTCGCTGGCGCAACGCTCGGATCCAGCGATTCGCTAGCGAATCGCTCGATTCGCAAACTATGACATCGGCCTAAGCGTACAGCAGGGTTTTGTATCCACCTGATGCAGTCGGATGAAGGAGTTATAGTTGCGACTTCACTGAAGCGGTCGTAGTTGGGGTTGAAAAAGGTTAACTGAGTTCAAAGGTCGTTGTATTTGTGAAGGTGAAGGGGTTGTTATTATGAGGAAGTGCGGTGGTCGGTCATATTGATGTTTTTTGACGATTTCGGAGAAAACTTCTGAAAGGAAGCGTGAACATGAGAAAATTAATTCTCTACCGCTCCTTTGTCCAAATTCATCCCATCGTGAGAAAAGGGGGAGCTGAAGTGTATCGTGGTCCCGGAATCGAGTCCTATAGAAACAATCACAGAGGTGAGAGTGCGGTGGTGACGGGTAAGGGATCGTAGAGGGACCATAAAGTTAAATTAGCGCTGGAGAGTCACACAATTTTTAAAAGGTCGAACGTTGGGGATAACCCTGTATTGAAAGATATAACCGTTTTATCGATGACAGGCTTTGCGCGTTTCTTTGGGAATGTTACTCCGAATCGTTCCTTTGTGGCACCGTTACGAATGCGGTCTGAACGCATATTGTCCCATCACAGCGAGATAGGTTTCAATTTCTTTAATCGTGGGCCAGCATTTACCACCAACTGTGACTGGTCATTCAACAGTTCCGATAAAGCTTCGATACAAGACAATCTGATATTTTCCTTTGAAAACGCCAATTACCGCCCTCCATTTGGACAAAACAGAACTGACGCACCAGCGCTTCAGAGAGCACACTGCCGTCAAAAATATTGCTGATTCAAGATACTTGAATGCTGTTGTACGAATGGCCTTCATTACACCTGCACACGACTAATCGCTTGAGAGGTCTCGATGCATTATTACAATCCTGATGCAGTTAAGATGTTGTTTTCATTGAAGTTCCTCTGAGGAGAATCTCCGTGGGTGGTCTTTATGACAAAGCCCAATCATTTAAAGGTTCACTTCCATGACAGCTACCCTTCCTCCAAGTTAATGATAAGGAAAAATGCCCTCATAATAGATTTCTTAAATGCTCTGAT